CATGTGATCTACATTTCTATGGTTCTGCTCCTGATCTATCTAGCTGTCCTCTTAGTTTGCTTTTGCTTTAGTTGTGGTTCTTAATAACTGTGAGTTTTGCTGTCCTTTCACTGTTCATCTTTTTTATCTTCTTTTTACAGTCATCCAGTCTCTTGTAATTCCTTCTCATGTATTTTGTATTTCAAAAGTTGTTTTCTTCATTTATTCTTGGTTCTTGTTTATAGTTTCTATTTCATTTTTAATGCTATTGTAGTTCCCACTTAGTTCCTTGTATTGTCACTGAGTTTCTTTAGCATTGTTATAAGCATTTATTTGACTTCTGTGTCTGATAGATTGCTTGCCTCAAATTTTTTTACCTCTTTTAGTGGAGGAAATGAATTCTTCCATTCATTTCATTTAGGGGTTCTTTCCTTGTTTCCCCGTATTAGGTGACACTTTTTGTTGTTTCTGCATCTAAGGATGCTCTGCTTTGCCTGCCTGACTTAGTGTGGTTGACTTCTGTGATAGGACATCTGTGGGACTTAGTGATGCAGTCTCTTTGGTCTTGCATGGAATGCTGTAGGGATGCCCTTCTGTTTGTGTGGGCTCTCTCGTTGTCCTTGGGCTTTAGTTGTTGGTAGCTTCTTTGTTGATGTGTTTTCTTTCAGCAGGCTTACTGGTAGTCACAACTCCCACTCTGTCATGTATCATTCAATTTGAAGCAACATCTGCCTCTGGGGAGTCCAAACTTCATATCTGTTAAGATTCTGTGGCTGTTCACTTTGATTTTTGGAAGATCAGCTAAATGTCCCAGTTGAGTGCATGAGCAGGTTTGTACCTACTTTGCCACCACCTTCTCTGTCCAAAAACTTTGTTTGAGGAAAGTTTTTTTATCTTACTTTATGAATGTGTTAAATAAGTAAATTATGGTAAGCAAGTTACATTGTAGGATGGTCCTTGTTCTTTATTTTCTCATTCCATTTTTATCCTGTTTTTTCCCCTCCTTTTCCATTCCCTTGCAAGAGAAAATAGATCAGAACATTGTCTTACAATCACTAGTCTGGGATCTTCTGAGCTTCTTTACCAGAATTTCCGTGGGTGTTGCAGTCCCTGACACAAGCAACATTGTTTGGGGGCAGAAATTTTTATAATGGCTGTGAGACAGAGTGACTAAGTTTGCTAACTATGGGTGTCACCCTTTGCAAAAACTCAGTTGGAAATTCTTTCCCGCCAATTCTTATAATCATCTGTAAATTAAAAATCATGTTCCTACCCCATGGAACTTTTACTTCTGAATATTTGGTAATCATTTGTAATCAGTATATTTTCTAGAGCAGTGTTCTCTTGTCCTGGGTCCCCTGCCCTTGTTATCCCTACTGTGTTGTGAGTTAACATAGTATATGTTTTATTAGGGGAGGTTGTAAATTCTTGGTCTTTCTTAGGATCAATTTGTATTTATATAGGAGTTAAAGGAAATTGTAATTAAACTTGTACTGTTTTTAAACCAAAGTACTTCCATGGCAAATAAAGTAGTCATTCCACTATCATTGTTTTATGTTTTATTTCTTATTATCTTTAATAATAGTCTTTTTTTAAAAACCTAATTTTAGCCCTGGTTGGTGTGGCTTAGTGGATTAAGTGCCAGCCTTTGAACCAAAATAGTTGCTGGTTTGATTCCCAGTCAGGACACAGGCCTGGGTTCCAGCCAGGTCCTCAGTTAGAGGTGCATGAGGGGCAGCAACACATTGATGTTTCTCTCCTTGTCTTTCTGCTTCCCTTCCCCTCTGTTTTTTAAATATATTTTATTGATTATGCCATTACAGTTGTCCCATTCTCCCCCCTTCATTTCCCTCCACCCTGCACACACCCTCCCACCCACATTCCCCTACTTTGGTTCATGTCCATGTGTCATAAGTTCTTTAGCTTCTACATTTCCCACACTACTCTTGCCCTCCCCCTGTCTGTTTTCTTCCCACCGTCTATGCTACTTATGCTCTGTACTTTCTTCCCCTTTCTCCTCCTCCCACTCCCCTGTTGCTAGTCCTCCATGTGATCTCCATTTCTGTGGCTCTGCTCCCGATCTAGCTTTCTGCTTAGTTTGGTTTTGTTAGGTGTGGTTGTTAATAACTGTGAGTTTGCTGTCCTTTCACTGTTCATATTTTTTATCTTCAATTTCTTAAACAAGTCCCTTTAACATTTCATATAATATAATAAGGGCTTGGTGATGATGAACTCCTTGAATTTAATCTTGAGAAGCACTTTATCTGTCCTTCCATTCTAAATGAAAGCTTTGCTGGACAGAGCAATCTTGGATGTAGGTCTTTGGATTTCATGACTTGGAGTACTTCTTTCTAGCCCCTTCTTGCCTGTAAGGTCTCTTGAGAAATCAGCTGACAGTCTGATGGGAACTCCTTTGTAGGTGACTGTCCCCTTATCTCTCGCTGCTTGTAGGATTCTGTCCTTCATTTTAATCTTGGCTAATGTAATTATGATGTGCCTTGGTGTGTTCCTCTTTGGGTCCACCTTCTTTGGGACTCTCTGAGCTTCCCGGACTTTCTGGAAGTCTATTTCCTTTGCCAGATTGGGGAAATTCTCCTTTATTATTTGTTCAAATAAGTTTTCCACTGGTGGCTGTTCCTCTTCCCCTTCTGGTACCCCTGTAATTTGCATGTTGGAACATTTAAAGATGTCCTGGAGGTTCCTAAGCCTCTCCTCATTTTTTGGAATTCTCGTTTCTTCATTATTTTCTGTTTGGTTGTTCCTTTGTTCCTTTTGGTCCACTCCATTGATTTGAGTCTCTGTTTTCTTCCCATCACTGTTGGTTCCCTGTTCATTTTCCTACATACCACTTAGTGTAGCCTTCATTTTTTCATGTAATTTGTGACTAAAATCAACCAGTTCTGTGAGCATCCTGATCACCAGTGTTTTGAACTGTATATCTGATAGGTTGGCTATCTCTTGGTCACTTAAAAGTATTGGCTCTGGGGCTTTTATCTGTTCTTCTGTTTGAGCCATTTTTGGTCAGGTTGCACCTGTTACATATGAGTGGCAGAGCCTTAGGTGTTCACCAGGGCGGGGCAACCCAAGTGGCTGGGGTCAGAGAGAGGACAATGGCACTTGTTCAGCTCTCTCTCGGATTTCAGTTCCCTCTGCCACTTTCCACACCCTAATTGGACCCTTCTCGTGCTGATTACCAGGTGGGTGGGCTTATGTGTGTTCTAGGACCCTGTGGGTCTTTCCAACGAACTCTCCTGTCAGACTGGGAGCCTCTCCTGGCACCTTTTCTGTCAGTGCTTTTAGGATTTATGTCCTGTTGCTGGGGCCCTGGGTTGTGTGGTCTGTCTCGATTCCTGTTTTTGCCTAATTTATCTGTGCACAAAAGTGTGTCCACGGTCAGCCAGCTGTATTGAGCACTCTGCTCATTTCCTCCCTGCGCTGCTTGTGCCCCCGGGCTGGCAGCCACCGCTGTTTCTTGCTGCCTCAATCCCTCTATACTGGCTGAGGACTCTGTTCCTCTTACCATTCTGGCTAAATGGTTGTTGGACTTACATATAGTTCAATTTTCTGTCTCTTCTGGTTGTGTTTTTGTTTCTAAATGTTTGTTGTCCTTAATTTTGGTTGTTCAAGGAGGCACAGTGTTTTCACCTATGCCACCATCTTGGCCAGAAGTTCCCTTCTTCTCTCTTTAAAAATAAATAAAAATCTTTTTAAAAAATAAAATTAAAACCTGACTTTACTGATACTTGTAATAAACTGTTCTTATTACCTAGAATAATTTTAGATAATTTTTTAAAAATCAGAAATGAAAAGAGGAATGGGAGGAAATGTGATAACACATTTTAGACTTAGATTAGTGTTTATGTATAGCATCAAACTCTTATCAAGAAGCCTCCAGTAATACTGCTGTTAAAAGGTACAACCAGGATCCCCATGTATGTGGCTCAGTCATTGAGCATGGGTTTAAAAAGTGAGAGGTCCTTGGTTCCACTCCCTGTTAGGGCACAGGCCTGCGTTGGGCCAGGTCCCCAGTTGGGGGCATTGGAGAGGCAACCAGTAGATGTTTCTCTTTCTTTCTCCCTCCCTTCCTCTTTCCTTAAAAATAAATAAAGAAATCTTTATAAAAATAAGGAAGACTACCAGGAGGAAATGATGTAGTTCTTTAAGCTCACAGGACCAAATAAGGAAAAAAAACGTACCCTTTGTTTTCTGCTGTAGAAATGTAGTTTTAATAACTAATAGTATTCCAGTGGTAACTTTTTCTAAATTTCTGTTATTAAAGCTAAGCATAAATAATTGAGGACCATGACTTAATCATGATCAAAGGATAGATAAATAGAGCAGTAATCAGCACCTAGATATTTTAGGGAGAGAGGTGAAGTGATGGGCAAGGAGGAAGTTTTCCTTGCTAGGGAAACTAAGTATAATATATTAATCATGAAATATTTTTCTTTGCTTTTTTTTAACCTGTAAAATGGAAATATCTTCATGGTTATTTTTTAGAAGAAGATAATACATGTAAGCAATTTAGTGTAGTGCTTAGTATCTAGTAAGCCCTCAATAAATTTAGCTGCTGTTGTTATTATTTGGAATTTTAAAAAAAGAACTCATACTCATGAACAGCTGAGGGTAGATACACCTGCAGTTTAAATTTTAACAAAGTAGGTCCTGGCCAAGTAACTCAGTTAGAGCACTGTGCCCATATGCCAAGGTTACAGTTCAGTCCTTGGTCAGGAGTGATTGGAGTGACAGGTTGATGTTTCTCTCCCTCTCTCTACTCTTTCTTGCTTTCTCCCTTCCTCTCCCTTCCCCCACCTCTCTCAAATCAGTTTTAAAAAGATTTTACAAGGTATTTAAGATACTAAAAATGATACCCAGCTTCTCACTTCACCTGTTTGTTGAATTGCTTTGGGAAAGTTAGCATAAAATTTAAGTTCCTTATTCTGATTAGTAGAATGCATAAATTTAAGGACTATCTTACAAGTGAAATAATTAAATTTATCCCTTTTTTCCCTTTGTTTCAGGTTTCCCCTCAAAAAACCTATAAGGTAAGTTGTTCAGTTGCACCTCATACATTTAGGTTAAATTTTAATTGGAAGTATTCCTTTGAAATTATGGTGATTTTTTTTGTGGTTTTGAAAACGTGGATTTTAGTTTAAAATTTCAAAACAATTTATGAATTTAAAATGTAACAGGTATTTCTGTTTTTTCTGAAACAAAAGGCTTTGTTTTGATAACAAATGTTTTTAATATAAGCATTTTAAATATTTGTTCAAGTTGATGCTTAAGGTCACACCCTATGAAGAGGCTTAATTTTACAGTCTATTGTGACTGCTTTCAGTTGTGAATATTGTGGGGGGTGTAAATGGATTATCAGTTTTTGATGTATTTTATCATCTGGGTAACTGTAACTGCCTTTAGTTAGTGAATTGTGGGAAATAGAATCAGTCTTCACTACTTCAAGACAGTAAAGGGGAAAAGCCGAAAATGTTCATATGTCTGTGCCCATATCTATATCTCCACAATTACTAATTTACCAGGATTAAATGTCCCTTCCTCAGTACTTCTTTAACATCCTTCTCTTTCATCTTAATTGTCATAAATATCACTTAAAATGGAGGTAGCATGTCATTCCTAATTATTATAGTTTTTTAAGTCATTTTAGTGACACCATAGTACAGGGTACCAATGCTAATCTTGGCATTTCAGTTAATTAGTAGTGTATATATTTTTTGTGTTGGCTAGAAAATTGTTTAGTTTTTCTTGTAAGATGGCTCCAGTAGTGCTTAGTTGTCTTAACTTCATTCAAAACAATTTTGTTAGATTGTAATGTGACAGCTGTCATATCAGTGTGCATTTAAAACAACTTATCAAAATTGGTGACTTCTTGTGTAGCCATTTTAATATTGAAGATGTAAGAAAGTAAGCAACATTTTTCAGCATGTTATGCTTTATTACTTCAACAAAAGTAAATATGCTTTATTATTTCAAGAAAAAGCAAATTTCAGTTGCTTTTTCTGCAACTGAAATGCAGAAAAGATTTATGCAGTGTATGGAGAAGATGCTGTGACTAATCAAATGTGTCAAAAGTGGTTTGCCCCACATTGTTGTTTGGATAATTATAATAAAATAACAAAACTTTTTTTAAAAAGTGGTTCATGAAGTTTCATGCTGGAGGTTGGAAGGTGCTTCACAGCCAGGTAGACCAGTTGAAGTTTATAACCATCAAATTGAGACATTAATTGAGAACAATCAATGTTCTATCATGAGGGTATAGCTGACAATCTCAAAATACCCAAATCAATAAAGTTATTGGTGAAAATGAAAAACATCTTTTATTTTACAAATGAAAATCATATGGACTTTTTGGCCAACCCAATTCTTACATTTTTATTTACTGCTTAGCCATTATCTGATCAGGTAATTTGATAAACCATAAGAAAAATAATAATTCTAATGTTGTCTGTGCTTGGCTAAGACTGCCATGACTAGAATTATAGGCAAGCTTTAAGTGAAGTTTTCCTGAGATTTTTTTTTTCAACTGCTCTCATCAGTGCTATATTTACACAGTGATTTTGGACTTGATCATGATATATATATATATTAGATTTAGATTAGATATAGATATATAGATATATATACACACATACACATACATACATATAGAGAGAGAGATTTGGGCAATGTGTTGAATTACAAGTAGGCAGTTTTCTTATCTGTTCAATGAAAATAATAATGATTTTTCTTTGAAAACCACTAAAAGAATTTAAGCAGTTATTTCTAAGAATAAAACTGACTTTATAACAGTACTACTTTTATCATTTTTAAGTATTTTTTATAACTAAGTAAATAGACTGTATTACATGCAGCACAGACTAATTTTAAAATTTCTTGAAAAATGTAGAGAGGTTTATGAGACTCTCTGTAAGGTAAATTGCTTTCTTGGTTTCTTTTTGTAAGACACACTTGAGATTTTTAAATCATGTTTTTGTGCTAATGACTTCTTTGTAGTAATTATTTGATTGTTTTGATTTAATTTAGGCATGGAAGTATTTTGAACCGGGAGTCACCAACAGATAAGCAGAAAGTTGAGCGCAGTGTATCACATGATTTTGACCCTACAGGTAAAATATCCTTTTCTTCCAAATTATACTAAGAGAAATAAACTTTAGAATACTATAGTTTGAGCTACATAATGACCTGAAACACCTGTTTCAGAAGTAGGACTTCTGTTTATGACTTCACCTTCCTCTTCAATTATATAAAATCTTTGCATTCAGGGAATGCAAATATTTTTAACTTTCAATACTATGGATTCCACTATGGAAGCATCATTGTAGAGTGTATTTAAATATGGTGATGATAATAGAAATAGTTTTTATGTCACCATTGGGTATTTTGTTAAGATCAAGGACTTAGTATTAAGATAAATCATAAGTATCAAACAGTAGTAAGTCAAAATCAAATCTGTAACAACTACCAATTTCTGCAGTCATTTAAAAATTTAGGTCTGGAGTAGATAAATTTAACTTCAAAATTATCATCTCATTTTAGAGGAAGCAAATGAAGAGATCCCTTTTTCTTCAAAAAGTATTCTGAACTCAGCTGTATTTCAGCCTTAGTTGTATTGCTCTTTTGTCATGTTTTCATTAGTAGACTTTCACCTATTTATATTCCTTAATTTATGCATATAGTTTGAACTCTTCTTGTAAAATATAAGCTGTTGCTTTCTCTTTGTAAATTCACCAAGTACTTAGTTTTTTAAAAAGTTGCTTGATAATTTTGCTTTCTTCATTTGAAACTGATATGTGTTCTTTGAGCACATACTATTTTATTGAGTTGTATATTCCTGTGACAAATGATAAAATATGTAAATACTAAGGTTCCCAGATACATTAATATAATGTATGTATTTTAGATATTTAGAAAAATATTTTAAAATTTTAATAGTATTTTTTGTGTCTAATTAAGATTAAGTAAAAAAGGAAACCCCAATCATCAATTTGTGAGGTTTTGTTGGTGGGAATATGTGATATGTAACTTCTGGATACCCATTAAAAGATAATTATTTCTGACACATAATTTTGACATTATGGGGCTCAGCAACTTTTATTTATATGGTTAGTTATTGTCTTGCTAATGAGGGTCACAAGTTCTGTCCTATGTTCATAAAAGTGTTTGTGGTCTTGTTAAATTGACTTATTCTTGTATTGTTTATCTGTGATGTGACCATTTCTGCAGACAGATTTAGCAAAGTGATATGCAGTGTTTCATAATGAGATTATTATAGTTTTTAGTGCTTTTGCCATCTCTAAAATTGTCATATACATTTTGTAGACTATTCCTGTGTTGTTTTTTTAACATATTTTTATTGCATTGTTTTTTCTTTGGTAAATCTTTACAATACATTGTGGCTGTTTGTGACTATTCTAAGTGCTGTCATCTGTGATGTTCATACTTTGTTTGCACAATTTAACTTGATCATGATTCATTCTTTCTCCCCCCATAAATTTTCCCCCTTACATTGGTCTCCATATTTTCTATATCTCTCTCCTTTTCTCCCACTCTTTGTGCAGATAGCTCCTCCAAGAAGACAAAGTCTAGTTCAGAGGAGAGTAGATCCGAGATATATGGTAAGCTTTATATAGACAATTCAGCCTTGCACCTTTGGAGTTTGCTTCATGCTGTTTCCTTTTAAAAAAATAACTACAGCCTTCCTGTGTCCGCTCTGCATGGCATGATCTGCTGGGAAAGGGAGCCTGGGGTTTTAATATGGCTGTGATGTGGAAGCTTAAGATTGCTAGAAACTAACCTTGTAGAATAAGAATAGGCCACATCATTCATCTATTTTATTTTTTTCATGTTAGCAAAGTGATTATTTCTCATATGTTTGGGTTAGTTTCCTCCATGTAATGTGGATGAGCATTGAATAATAATTATTCTTCTTCCTTCTTCTTTATTCTTCTTCCCTCTTCCCCCCTCCTCTTCCTTCCTCCTTCTTCTCTTTCTTCTTCTCCTCCTCTTCTTTATTTTCTTTTTCTTTATTTTTAATTAGGGCATTAAATTCTTATTATCTTCTTCTCATGTCCCAATTACAAGGTTTGGGTCATGTAGAATTTCATCAGTTCTACCAGTCTTTTAAGTATAGTGCTGGTATAACTTAATGTGTGTTGGCAGTTCTTTGGAATTTTTATCTTTTATTTGGTTTTTAATTTTTAATTACATCATCCTCTGGAAATGTTGTTCTTGTATAGTTTATCCACAGTGACAAAAAGCCTTAAGTATTTTATTTTTATAACTTGAAGAATTTGTCTATACCTTTCATAAGTTTCCCTGTCTGAGGTTATTCTGTCTGAATGGGCAAGTTAGAAATTGATATGTTTTAAAAATAATCTTTACAAAGATCAGGTTTAACCAGAATGGTCAACTTTGGTAACAGGTTATTGAAACACTGTATTTCCAGATTGTGTCCTGTCTTCCAAGGATAATATAAACCATATTTGTGAAGTTTGTACATATTTTTCTTTTTTCTTTCAATTTTCTGGTTTCCTGTTTTGATATCTAATCAATATTTTTGAGAAAAGTGAATTGGAGAAGCAGAGCCTGGAACAAAAACTTTGAAAATAATCTCTAAAAGACTAAGAAGTTATTTTTTAGAAGATTCCCAATTTGTCATTAAAAGAAAACCGTGTCTTCTCTGATAGAGCTGAGCTGAGCATCTGTGAAGTAGAAGTTTTCCCAGGTATTGCTGATTCCTAGCTTGATATACATGAGAGGAAATAAAATATGGAAATGTCCTTAACCCTTTTAAGATACTTTATAATTTATATCTCCTGATACTTTAGCCAATAATATCAGATGCTTTTTAATATCATGAGGTTTCAGTGTTGGGTTATAAAGCAGTAAATGCTTTTTCGTTAGATACATATATAAAATTGTTTGCTTGGGTTTTTGCGACCAGTGCTTTTTCTATGTAATTAAACGTTTTACAGTAGTTCAACAGAAATGTATACCATGCCAGACACATGTCAAGTTTATGTTTTTTTCTTCCAAAGTATTTGGCTCCATATAAGTAAGAAGTAGCTTCTGAATTTCTTGAGACTTTTTTTTTTGTTCTGTATAAAGAGTTTACTGTGGCTTATTCTCCATTTAGGAATGAGAACACTGTCTTTATAGCCCCATTCTTTTTGAGTAGCCTCTGCAGTGTTGTTATTTTTATCTCCTCCACTGTTTTCCTAGATCTGTGGTATCTGTGCAAAAGCTTGCTGTTTGCTTAAGATGATAGGATCTTTGCTTTGGATGATAGGCACAAATGAAAGCTTCTTATTTGATTTGGATGTTAACAGTATTTCAGACATGCCATTGGCTTAGTAATAGAAATGGTTTAAGTAGTAATGAGGATGCAAGGTATGGATTCTCTGTGTGTTTGTTTCTTGAGAACTGTTGAAGTACCTTTTGTGGAGGTAACTGAGCCATGAGTTCTCAAAAAGCACTTAGAAAGAGTTTTTCAGAACAAAGTTAATTAGCATTTTAACTTAAATCTCTTTCACATTACATATATTTTATCACAGTGTGAATAGACTTCAGACTGTGTATAGTAAGCAAGGATGAAAAAGAATCTCTAATCTCCAGGGAGCCAAGGAAAGCTTGGACATAATAGGATATGAGAGTAGAATCATAGCCACTGGTGACATCACTTTGGCATAGGGCCTCTTAACAAGCCAACGTCTAACTTTAGAGATTATACATTGTCTTGGAGTAAAATTCATTAGCTGAATACTTAATACAACTGCCAGTTATTCACTTATAAATTATTCATTTTAAATTCTTTTAGCCATTTTTGCAGCTGTTTTATCAGATAGATTTGCTTTGCTCATTTTAAAAGGACACCAAGTGTTTTTTGTATTGACTTCTTCTGTTAATTTTCTACCCAATATAGTAGATCGATATTTATTCCATATCCCCTTTTTTCCTTGTACCTTTTAGAGTCTGTTGATTATATACAGATGTATTTTCTGATCTGCAATTGAATGATAACTTAATTTTCCATTTTTCTTACTAATATTATAGTGAAGAAATTCTGTAGCTTTTGTGGGACATAAGAGATTTAACAAGGCATTTTGAGTTAGATACTCCTTCCTAACTTCTGTCTTGGTTTTATGAAGAGATTCCAGTTGATAGTATTTTGTACAAGAAAATGTCATGTCTTTTTGAAGCTGTCTTTAGTCTGCTGGGGCTGCTATAACAAAATACCAGAGACTTGGCTTAAATAACAGAAATGTAATTATTTTCTTACAGTTTAAGAGGTTAGAGTATGAGATTAGCATGCCAGCATGATTGGGTTCTGGTGAGGGCTCTTCTGGATTGCTTTGGCTCACATGTTCTTTCCTTGGTGTAAGCACATGGGAAGAGAAGAAGAAAGAAAGAGAGGTAGAGGGGAAGGGAGTAGGAGAGGGTGGGAAATAAAGGTGTCAGAGAGAAAGAAGCTCACTCAATATATGACTTTTGTGGGGGACACAGACATACAGTCCTTAACATAGGCAAACTGTTAGATTCTCATATCTGTAAAAAGAGAAGTTCTTGGTTCAATTTATTTTATTTATTTTATTTTTAGAGAGAGGGAAAGGGAGGGTAAAAGAGAGGGAGAGAAACATTGATCGGTTGCCTCTTGCATGTGCCCTGACTGGGAATAGAAACAGTGACCTGATTTTTGGGATGATGCTCAATCAGTTGAGCCATGCTGGTCAGGGCTCTTGGTTTGATTCGTACTTTCACCAAATTATGATTCTCTTCTTTTCTTTAATTTTGCAAAGAGCATTCTGCAATATGAATTTTCTATGTCCTTATAAAGCATTCATTTCTTAACCTCTTGAAATCTGAGGTCTGAACACATACTATCTGGAAAGTAAACCAAAACATTAGACTTGAAAATCTGTGAACTTATTCTCAGTTCTTACCATCTTTCTGAAGCATTTGACAATGCTAACACTCTTCCTTTTGTTTCTGGAATATTAGATCAATCTGGTTCTTTTTTCTTTATAGTTGTTTTGTCTTTTCTGTACTTCATTGCTTTTTCCTTTTACAAATGTAAAATAACCTGAGTTTCTGTTCTTGATATCTCTCTTTTTCTAGTTTTATATTTTTAAATGTTTGTGAATACCTTCCCTCTAACTGTTCTTCATATTCAGAATGACCAATCTGAAATTCATCACTGTTCTTTATGGATAGAAGAAATCAATCTTCCCTTGATTTTCCTGATTTTTTTTTGAATGGCACTGCCACCAAGTCTTACTTTTTTTTAAAAAATTTATTTATTTATTTTCAGAGAGAGGGGAAGTGAAGGAGAAAGAGAGGGAGAGAAACATCAGTGTATGGTTGCCTCCCATGTGTCCCCCACTGGGAACTGGCCTGCAACCCAGGCATGTGCCCTGACTGGGAATCTAACCACGATCGCATGGTTCGCAGGCCCATGCTCAATTCACTGAGCCACACCAGCCAGGGCCTAGTCTTACTTTTTTAATAGTTATTTTTTACTTCCTTTACCTTGTCCTCTCTTCTAAATTGTTTACAAGGTCCCATAACTCTACCATCACTTTGTTTTCATCACTCACTATTTGGTTCTGTTCCCACCCCTTTTCATCATTTCATCAGGCTATTTTAATAGACTCATAACTTTCTTTCACATTGATCCACTTCCTATTCTCTATTCTTGTGTATTTTGTCAGATTAGTATCACTAACAAGGATTTGGGCATTAACTTGTTAGGAAGTACAAGTAGTTATTAAAATATGCCATGATTTTGTTTCAGACTTATTTTGTCTTAATTTACTGTTCACCTAAAATGTACCAGTGTCTCCTTCAAATGTTCATTTCTGAAATATGGCTTGGTTTTCATTCTTTGTTCATGCCATTTCCATTGTCTTGAAAGGTTTACATCCTATGACTTCTTATTAGAAACCTCCTCATCCTTCCAGGCTTTCTTGGATTTGCCCAGCTTCTTCTGTTATCTGAGCTCTAACATCCTGCTTTGTGTCTAGTGATTTGTACTTAGGTTTGTCTTCACATCACCCATCATGCTTGATACCCTAAGGCACTCATTCAGTTTTGGTTAAGTGATTGTTGAGATTGGGATGAGTATTATGGGAAAAAGATTTGGTGGCATAAAATATTGACTCAACTCAATGGGATTTTTCTTCTGGAAAATTTTAACATGAAAGAAAAGGTAACTTAGAAATGAGACTTACTATTGGTAGGAATAGCTGAAAGAAAAAAATCAGCATGCTTGGAACATAAGATGCCTCTTGTGGGCAGTATTATGCATTTAGAATCAAGAGGCTTTAAAAAAAAAAGATTTAACTTACTTATTTTTAGAGGGGAAGAGAGAAAGAGAGGGAGAGAAGCATCAATGTGTGGTTGCCTCTCACGTGCCCCCTACTGGGGGCCTGGCCTGGAACCCAAGCATGTGCCCTGATTGGGAATGGAACAGACATCCCTTTGGATCTCAGGCCAGTGCTCAATCCATTGAGCCACAATAGCCAGGCCAAGAAGCTTCTTAATCAAAGGATTATCTGAGGTCTTACTCATAAAACAAGCCCTGGCTGGTATAGCTCTGTGCATTGAGCGCGGGCCTGCG